GGGACTTCACAGCAAACCCTATACTGGGTGTGATGAGCTACAGGAAGACTATTCATTACAAGTGCTTACCCAGATCTCCCCAGAACCTGGCCTGTGAGGATCGTCCCCAAATCCTGTGAGGATGATCCCCGCTGCAGTCCTCTCAGGGGTCCTCCATGGGCACCTCCTAGAGTTTTTCTTGGGTGGTTCAGTGATTGTCCCTGAGGACCAGCTTTTTGAAACCCATTGTTGGTTCATCAGCCTGTTGGACATCACAATCTGTCATCATAATCATCACCTTCGTCATCGTCTTCTTAAGCCCCAACCAACATCACCAGCACCACGGCCAGCATCCGTTACAGGTCTTGAATCCTTTTATGCCAGGCTCTGTGATAAATGTGTATTTAATCCTCTCCACATTCCCACAAGGAAGGCAATATCATTAACTTCTTTTTAAAAATGAGGGAACAGGGAGGTGAAATAACTTGCCAGAGGTCATGTAATTAATAAATGATAGCTCTAGGGTACTCATCCCAAATCTTTGCTCTTAACCAGTTCCCCGGATATGCTCACAGGATGGCTCTGGATGGACCTTTTTTGTTTTTTTCAAATCCTTCATAAACATTTTTTCTTGAATTTCTTAGCTCTCTTAATGGCCTCCCTTGGGAGGCGCTTGGGAGGAGTCATTAGAGAGAAGATTCTATTATTTATTGCCGAGCTGTCATTTTCAGTCATTACTGGGACTCAGAACACACTGCACATTTGTTTCTTTCAGGAGAGTCATATAATGGGGCTCTCTGGAGGGTTGGGATCTCCTGTCTTCCTTCAGATTATACTGTGTACCACCATCATCACCAGTGATAATTAGGGATCGAAGCCCCACACTGAGTTCCACCTCCAGAGCCACCATCTTGTTGGTTGTACTCAGTGAGGGAGAGTACCCCTCAGTGTTTTTGAACCAGCAGGAATGCAGCACTCTGGGAAGCTGAGTTTATGGTTAGCCCTTTAAGGGCACTACCCAGATGTACAAAAAGGTGAATATTTATCATTCAGAAACATTACTTTATAATATTTTTATCAAAATATAACTAACTTGGGGAAAAGTTCACAAATCACACAGCTCAGTGAATTATCACATGTTGGGTACACTGGGGCAACCGGTCCCCAGATCAAGAAACAGAACATGATCTGTGCTCCAGAGGCGTCTCTTGTACCCCCTACCCCCAGATCAATTCTCACTCCACTTTGCCTCATGGTAACTGCTGTCCTGACCTCTGCATCATAGATTACGTGGTCTGTTTTTGAACTTCGTAATCATCTCAAGTGAAAGAAGACACAGCTTTTGTATTATTTTGAGTGTCTTCTTTCACTCAGTTATGTTTATGAGATTCATCCCTGTTGTGTGTAGTAGTAATTCCCTCCTTTGCATGACTACAGTGCGTTCAATTATACGAATACGCCATGACTGACATATCCATCTTACTGATGATGGACATTGAGCGTTTCCATACAATGTTACTATGAATCTTCTGATGGGTGTTGTGTGGTCCCCATCTGTATGCATTCCTGTTGATTTAGGGTGGCATTACTGGATCATAGGGTGTGTATGTGTTCAGCCTCAGTAAATACCGCCAGAGTTTTCCAGTGAAAATTGCTTATTTTTGGTTCACCGGTGTGTGAAAGTTGCAGTTAATATTCGATATTGTTAGTCCTTTTATGTTTAGTCAACCTGGTGGAAATGCAGTAATTTTTATCTCCCTGTTGGCTAACGAGGTGGGGTGTCTTCATATGCTTTTTGGCCGTTTGGAGACCTTCTTTTATGAAGTTTTAGTTCATGTGTTTTGCCTATTTTTCTCTATTGCGTTGTCTATCTTTTTCTTATTGATCTGAAAGAGGCTTTATATGCTTTGGATTAAAGTCAATTGTGGTTAAATGCATTGCAAATACCTTCTTCCACACTCTGCCCTGCTTGTTCCTAGTGGTGTCTTTTCTTGAGCAAAAATTTTTATATCATCTCATTTATATATCTTCTCCTTTATTGTCAGTGTTTTGTTGTTGTTGTTTTTTTGTATGTCCTGCTTAAAAAGTCTTTCTGACTCCAAGGTCATTCATATTTTATCCTCGGCCAACTTCTGAAAGCTTTGTTGTTTTGTTCTTCACGTTTACTCTACCGTCTGTGTGAAGTTTATTTTGTGTGTGATCTGTAAGACCAAGTTACCTGTTTTTACCTGGTTGTCTAGTTGCCCCAGCAGCTCTGTTGAAGATAATTGTCTTTTCCCCCAGCTGCCCTGCATCCCGTCCTTAATCATACATCAAGTTTCCAGGTACTCGTAGAACTTTTGCTAGACCCCAAACTATACAATTGGCCTTTTCCCCTTCCTTGCTAGAACACCCTGGCTGTACTTCTGTAGCTGCATTAGTCTCGACTCGTGGTAGCCCAAGCCCCCCAACTTTTCAGCTCTCTAGACGGCCTTAGATATTCTTGACCCTTTGCATTTGCATATATGTTTTGCAGTCAACCTGTCATTTCCCCAAAAAACATGATGACCGTTTAATTTAGATTGCACTGAATCTATAAATCAATTTGAGAAGAACTGACATCTTTATAACAGTGAGTTTACTTGTCCATGAACACAATTCAGTAAACTTAACCGCACATCAACTCTGTGCTAATCACTGTGCCAAGCCTAGATGTGGTTCTCGCTTTTGAAGGACTTGAACCAGTAGGTAAACAAACACTTATCCACAAAATGCAATGTGATCATCTCATCACTGATAATAAGAGCTAATATTTATTAAGTGCCTATTATATTCCAGGCAGGATTTTAAGAACTTTACATGTATTAATTCATTCACCCTTCCCACTGATACTTGGACGTAAGTGCTGTTATCATGCCCACCTGTAGGTTTTTTAATTGCAGTGCAGTCTACATACCATAATATATTAGTTTCAGGTGTACAACATAGCAATTCAATATTTCTGTGCATTGCAAAGCAGTCCATGATAAATCTAGCTACTACCTGTGGTCACATAAAGGTTTTATGATATGATTAACTGTATTCCCTATGCTGTATGTTGCATCTCCTTTTCTTATTTATTTTATAACTGGAAGTTTGTACCTTTTAATCCTCTCCCCCTATTTTACCCATCCCTCCCACTCCACTCCGCTGTGACAACCACCGGATTTTTCTGTTACCGTGAGTCTGTTTCTGTTTTATTTGTTCATTTGTCGCCCCACTCTAGATAGCCTCAGACTGCTTTAAGGCTGGGAGTCTGTCCCTCAGGGATCTCAGCTCTTTCTTCTGTCGGCCGCTCTTGAGCACTATACTTTCCTGACTATTTTACTGTGCTTTTCCTCTCACCCTTTCTTCCTTACTAGGAAGGTCTATTTGACCTTTTCTAGACATCAGTAACCAATTAGAATGTGCTACTGCTTTTATGGGATGAACTGACCAATTATAGCATGAGATTTGCAATCTTTGCGTCTCAAAGTCCTGCCCTGAGATATCATTGTGACCACTGGTGCCTTATCTAAGATGGTTGTTTTGGCTTTTAGGGTTTGGGGGTCCTTTATTTTTAGGACTGAAACCAGAAGACTAAAATATCCTTCCCTGACAGGGGGTTGCTTATCAGAATCATGTAAATGTTATTTGTTAAATGAATTGATTTTTAAAATTTCAAAACTTAACCCTGTGGAATACCCATGCTATGACTAATATACTCACTATGTATAATTCTGGGTGGAATGTTAAGCTGGGGAGGGAGTCTGGCCCTAAGTCTTCCTCTGGGTCATCTTAACCACCTTGGTGTGTCTGTTGACCTCTCTGTGTCTTTATTTTCTGTCTGTGAAATTAGAAGCCTGGAATGGAGGATTCTTGGGAGAGGCTTAAGGCTCTAAGAGTCTATAATTCCACGTTTAAAGGCCAGAATCTTAGCACTTTAATCCACACAGTAATTTAAATCTCAACTTACATAATTTTCAAAAAACTGGAATTGAGATTTTTTTTTTTTTTTTTTTGGATGTCAGGCTCTGTGCTAGGGGATAGAGATACAAAGAGAATTAAAATAGATTCCTCTCCAGCATAACTCACAGTCCAGTGGAGAAGGCTGGTAAAAAGAGTATTGCAGTGCAATGCAAAAATTGCAAGAAAGGATTTCCATCTCGGGAGATTGAAGATACAAATGAAGGGGTGACTGTCATTGCTGAGTAGACCCTTGAGCTAGATTCTCATGAAAACATAGTTATATTTTATAACTGTAGTTTATTTCTAGTTCATGCAAAGTACAACATGGATATTTCTGGTCCATGAGTCATTCTCTGTGTAGTTATTCAGAAACCCAGGTTCCTTCCCTTTTGTGGCTCCACCATCTTCTCACACGACACCAGAGTCTCCTGCTGGATTCCCTGCATTCTGCAGCCATAGGTGGGAAAGCAAGTGTGGAAAGTTTGCGTGGGCCAGGCTGGAAGCGGGATTCATCATGTCTGTCTGTGCTTTCCCTTGACGGAATGAGGGTGCAAAACAGACCTAACTTCAGGGGAGGCTGGGAATGTGGCCTAGCTGAGATCCCACAAGAAAAAGGAAGTATGTTTTGGAAAACATACAGCCGTCTCTGCCCCCACAAAGGGCTTTGTAAGGGAGTCTCTGCTGTGAGCAGCTAGGTTTCTCTCGGACCAGTCTAATGGGGAAGTCTAACGTAACACAGCTGGCAAGACGGGACTACTGACCAGGGACTCTCTTTATCAAATTGTGGGTACTTGAAGAGAGCTCCCTGAAGTCTTTGTTGGTTCAGGGGGGCCTCAACTGAGATCACAGTTGAGGCATTTCACAAGTTCTGAAATGTAGCGGGGAGCAGGGTGGACAGCGATAGTTCATGACTCAAAGGGATGAGGGTTTTCCATTGTCCACGGCCCGTCCAACCCACAGGTCTGGCATACTGATGAGAACTCGTGAACATCCCTTTGTCAGATGGAAGCCAGCTGATTCCTGTGCTCTTAATTTGCTTTCTTCTCTCTCCATAGTAACGCTTTCAGCTGCCCCTCCCTCCTACTTCAGAGGATTCACATTAATTGCCCTCAAAGAGAACAGAGAGGGAGATAAGGAAGAAGACCATGCTGGGACCTTCCAGGTAAGACCCCTCTGGGCTCCTCCGTGGCCCCCGTGCCCTCGTGGGTGGAAGCCAGGTGAGAGGCGGGCAGGCTGAGGAGCTTAAGCGACAGCAGAGACCCAGGGGACTGAGGTGGCTAAGGTGCCACTTCCTGAGGGCACTTCCCTTGACCACAGGCATGGCGGGTCAGGTCTGTTGGAAAGACGAATAAAGGAGTAGGCAGCAGATGCCAGAAGGCCTTCGGGCCCTGCCAGCAGGCAGGGCTCTGCTCTGGGCTCCCAGTGCCTGCGGGCGGCAGACAGCCCAGCTCTGTGGGACGCTCGGAGCCCTGGCGGGGCCCGGCTGTTTTTCCTGAGAGCCCTTTTGTGACTGACCGGCAATTCTCAAGCATCCACGGAACAAGAGCTTAGGATGGCCCGACTGGAAGGAATAGGAAGCATAGGAGAAGGGCTATTAAAGGGATGAAGAGATTGATTTATGAGAGGAGATTAAAAGAATTAAACATGCTTTGCTTGGCTAAATGAACAGGGCTGAGTGTGAGAGGTGGTAATGGTCTTTAAATGTCAGTCCTCACAGAGCAGCCTCCTCCAGGGGAGGCTGCGTTTGACTTTGCACAAAAGGGCACGGCAAGACGAAAGTGGGTCAAGAGAAGAAAGAATCGCAAAGGCGAGGGCCCTGACAGTGAGTCATATTTCACCGTGGAATATTCTTCCAAGGGAAGTGGCGGGAACATCATCCCCTTTCAGAGGTTTAGAAAAAAGGCCATCCAGTCGTCAGAACCTGTCCCAGAAGGATTGGGGCCATCCTAGGAGGAGGCCTGGCCAAATTGGCTGGAACCATTTCTCATCTTAAATTTCCATTGTTCTAGAATTCATTTTTTATCTGGCATTTGCAAACTCAGAAGAACAAAATAAAACCTCAGAAATACACCCATAGTTGACTGCTGGGGCCTCTGGTGCAATTGAGGGTGCCTTAGAGGGGCCTGCCCCAAAATATCTTCCTCGTCCAAAGATATCTTTTAATCTTTTTGTAGCCAGGTTGTAATTTTGAATCATCTGTTTTAAAAAATGTCCATTGCTTTGGCTTCTGGGCCTCCAGCCTAGTGGGACTGTTAATTCCATGCTCATCGTAATGTCCTTGTGTGTACTTAGGTACGAGCAGGAACTTTCTTGGCATACATCCGAAGACGTTACCCAGTTATAATACTAACGATGGCCAATATTTGTTGGGTTCTGACCCTATGCCAGGCATTAGGTTAAGTTCTTTCCCTTATTTTGGTTTATCTCCTCTTAATCTAATTAGTATACCTCATCTCGCTTCGGTTCTCCAAACAACCAAGTAGATAGGAACTCGTATTCCTGTTTCATGGATCAGGAAATTGAAACTAGCCAGGTTACATCATTTGCTTAATCAGCTAGTGAGGAGTAAGGCCAGGTTCCTCCACCAGGTGTCTAATTCCAGAGACTGAACTCTTTAAGCTCTGAATAGTACTGAATAAGCTCCGGGCACAAGTGTGTTCGCACAGCGTGTCGGTGAGGTCGTCATCATCGCGAGAGGGAAGTTCAGGCACGCGCTCAGCCCACAGAGCACCGGGGTCTAGTCCCCGGTCCTTGATGAGCTAATTTACCTGGAGGTGTGGATGGTGTTTCTGACTCGGGCAGCTGAGAGATCTCGGTGCCTGAGTGTCAGGAGGGGTAAAGTTCTAGGAAGGGAAGAGGTAGAGGGGGGGTTGGGGGGGGGCGTGGGACCTTAATTTTCACCCAGACAAAATGTATCTGCTCTAAAAGGATGCTTAGAGATTTATGCTCAAAAGAGTTGAAATGAGGGTTCAAACAGAGATTTGTACACCTGTGTTCATAGTAGCAGTGTTCACAGTAGCCAAAAGGCTAAACAACGCAAGCACGAACCGAAGCAAGAACAGATGAACAGACATGGTGTACACACACCGTGCAATATGAATTCTTATTCTGGTGCATGCTACCATATAGGTGACCTTGAAGACACCGTGTGAAGTGAAATAAGCCAGTCACATACTATATGGACAGTATGGACAAAAGGATACATACTGTATGATTCCACTCGTGTGACAGACTGAGAGTAGTCAAATCCAGAGAAACGGGAAGTCCAGTGGTAGTTGCCAGGGGATGTCCAGGAGGAGGGAATAGGGAATTATTGATGAACAGGTACACAGTTTGGGTTTGGAAGGTGAAAAAACATCCTGGAGGGGGACAGGGGTGATGACTGCATGAAAATGTGAATGTACTTGATATCACTGAGCTGTGCACTTAAAATGGTTAGGATGGCCAATTCTATGTATATTCTACCCCCCCACACACACAAACGATGCCTGAGTTAAGCCTAATGGGAACATGATGTGAAGTTAGGTGTGAGGAGTTACGTGGCTTCTTTCTTTAAAGGCTCTTCTGTTTTAATTTGATACATTGATAGTCCTCTCCAACTCACTGTCGTTCCTACTCTGCTAAATCTTGGTCCCTTCACTTGTATTCACTGATGAGTGAATACAAGGCCCAGCTCACAGTGGGCAATGAGTAGATGTTTGTTGAATGAATAAGTGAACATGTTACTCTTTCCACTAGTGTCCATTGCTCAGTCCTATTTGGAATTTTCCAGAACTCCTATCTCCTTAAGCATCCTCCCTTCTTCCTTCTTTTGGAGCTTTGGACATCATTTCTTATTACCTCACAATGGTTCACCACCAGAGTGTGGTCCCTGGGCCACCTGGGACCAGGCACTTTTTAGAAAGACAGAATCTCAAGGCCCACCCAGACCTACTGACTGAGAAACTCTGAGGGTGGGGGTCTCCATGACCTCTGCTTTCTCAAGCCTCCGGGTGAATCTAGCATCTGCTGGAGTTTGAGAACCATGTTGAAATGAGACCTGGATCCAGCCCATCCGCCTTGAACCACAGATCCGTCTGCTCCCACATAGCCTCACTCCTCCTACCAGCCCTGGAGGAATCAAAGTGGGAAACAAACACAAAACATGCCGAGCAGACAGTAATAATGCTTGTGTGCCAGATACTGTTCTGAGTGGTTTACATTTATTAACTGATTTAATCCTCAGAGCAACACTCTGGATAGGAGTGTTGTCCTGTTTTTCGCAGAGGAGGGAATTGTGGCACAGAGCAATTAAGTAACTTTCTTAAGACCACTCAGCTCTGAGTGATAAAGCTGGGATTCAGACTCGGCCAGTCTGGCTGCAGATCTCTGCTCTCAACCACCTGACCACGGTCTACACTGCCTCTCCATGTGTCTGTGTTCAGTGAAAACATGAGGGTCTACTACAACTTTTTTGTGGGGGTAGTTTCTGTGCCAAGGGCTTTACGTGCATTGTCCTCCTTAGTTTTCACAGCAACCCTGGGAGGTCAGTGTTGTTACCTCCATTTTCCAGAAGATAGAACAGAGTCTCCAGGGTACTAAGAAAATTGACCAAAGTAATCCAACTCCTCCGTGGGGGAGAGGGGCCAGACCTTGTGCGGGTGATGTTCTCACACTTCCTGTCCCCTCACCTCCGCCCCTGCCCTTGTGCACTAAATGCACACTCCACTTCTGTTCCTCTCATCTTGGAGGTTGGAGGGGGAGGAATCACAGCCCATGTCTCTGCGTTCCCTCTCCTGCTTCAGACACCGCTGTCTCTATCCTCGCCCCTCCCACTCTAGCCTGCATGACTTTTCTCTGTCTACCAAAGCTGTCACCTTGGGGGTCACTCGTTTATTCGTGAGCATTTATAGAGTGTCTCCTGCATGCCAGGCTCTGAGGTAGGCACTGAGGGTAACGGAGGTGAGAACAGCAGATGCAGCCTTGCCCACCTGTAGCTGAAGGTGGCCTCCCTGAAACTGGACCCTTACATTTTCCTCTGTGACCAACTGGCAGCGAGTCATCAGTGGGAACTGAGCGGGTGACCAGAACCTACAAGTGCCCTCTTGATTTTAACAACATAACACGTAGTGATGGACACATATTTCTGTCTACTTCTTTGTTCACACCCTCACTCCAAAGACAACAACTTTGAGGACTTTCACAACAGAAGCGAAATTCTCATCCTCCTTAAATCTGGTCAAAGATGATATTCTGAGTTCTAAAAAGTTGCTCTGAGAGTGGGGGATTTTGCTTCTACACAAGGGAGCGCTTATGCAGAGCATATAGACTCACCAGGTACAAACAAATGTGAATTTTAACACCCCTTTAGACTCGGCGGGGGAGGGAACGGGGCGGCTGGGTACAGGGTCATGCTGTTACCAGGCGGCAGAAGGCCCAAGGAGAAGTGGGTGGTTGCTCCTCTGCTTCCGACAGCGGGTCCAACATGGCAGCCTGCACCAACTAGGGCGTCTGTCCCTGGCTGCCAGAAGGGAGAGACATGGGAATCTCTCTTTGATGAGCAAGCTCGTGTACTTACGGTTAATTGGAACTGACAAGGAATGTAGGGGATGGATGGCCTGCACAGAAGTAACCCGCTAATCCTTAAAATTGTATTTCTAAAGCCCAGTTGCTCCCTGGAATGCTCACAACCCAGCCAACTGTCCATCTCATTCTCCCCTTCCCCAGGTCTCTGCTCAGATGTCCCTTTCTCGGGGAGGCTGTCCAGATCACCCTGTTTGAAACTTCCCTCCCCCTCCTCCTTCAGCTCCTGGGCTGGACTTCCGAGCCTTCTTCTTTCCCACTTAATTTTTGTCTTGTTGCCTTTATTGGCACCTGATGGGCCATTTGACTTGTCGACTTGAATGTTCTCTGCCCCCTTCCATTTCAATTATAAGCTCCATGAGAAAGGGATTTTTATTTGTCTTGTTTGCTGCTGTATCCCAATACCTACAACTGTGTCCCACATGGAGTGGACACTCAAATATTTACTGACCAGATATTAAGCTGCTAATATATAATGCTATCCCTTTATTTTATTCTTAAGGTCTGTATGCATCAACCAGTTTAGGTAATAGTCTGCCGATCAGAGGAAGAAAACCTCATTTATAAAAGGTTGTCTGCCTGAGAAGATCCCTTATCAAT